GGACTCTAATTGGAAACTGATTGGACGCTGGACTCTGATTGGACTCTGGTTGGACTCAGATTGGACGCTGGTTGGACTCAGATTGGACTTTTGGTTGGATTCTGATTGAACTCTGGATGGACTCTGATTGGCCTCTGGTTGGACTGGCTGGACTCTGGTTGGCCTCTGGTTGGACTCTGGCTGGACTGTGGTTGGACTGTGGTTGGACTCTGATGGGACTCTTATTGGACTCTGGATGGGCTCAGATTCGGCTCATATTGGACTCTGGTTGGACTCTGTCTGGACTGTGGCTAGACTCTGGTTGGACTCTGATTGGACTCTAGATGGACTCTGGTTGGAGTCTGGTTGGTCTCTGGTCGGTCTCTGTCTGGACTGTGGCTAGATTCTGGGTGGACTCTGATTGAACTCTGGATGGACTCTGAAACTGTTCCGAGCCTCTCATATTCTGTCATAGCTGTGTTTAATCTGTTCTTACTTTCTTTAACAAACAAATTTGCATTGATATCCTGATGCATGTTCAATAATCCAGGTAGAAAGGACTGAGGAAGTCTTTCGGATGAAAGACGAAACATATCTAGATTTTTTTTTTTTAGATTAAAAAAAAATCTGCATTGAGTTATTGTTTTATTAACGCTACATCTACTGGAACCAAACTTTTAAAAATGCTTTACCGAGTTTATGTATCTTTAAACTCTGATATAAATTTAGTCATATGGTGCTGGTTGGACTCCAGCTGTTGGACTTGAAGGAGAGTGTGTGTTGTCTTTAAAGCCACTAAAAAACATTTTCTGATGACTATGATCCTGAAAACAGGAACGTTGGAATTGGTCAGCTACTTCTCTGGCTGCTCAGTCCAGATAGTTACCCATTTGTCGTCAGATGTTGATTAAAATCAGCTTCACGTAAGACTTACCTCCCATGAGGAAGAGGAGGCCGGCCACGTATTGCATGAGACCTCGATCCCAGCAGCAGCCGAGCACGCCGATGATCCAACCAAACAGGATGATGGCCACCGCCATGCCCATGAAACCAGCTGTCATTCTCCGCAGGTCTGAGGGAAGACCAGAAGAAAGAGTTCAACCTTCTGCTCCACCTGAAAGTCCTGCTGCTGGAAACGGAGCACCTCAGTCCCAGAAACACCATATTGTATGAAGGACACGTTTCTGGAACTCAAACCAGTCTAACCGATGGCTCATTCAACCCAAACCCATCATGATATAAATCTCAAAACATGGCCAGACCTGATTCTACAGCCAAGAAATGCTCAGTGAACACTGAGAGTGAAGGACTGAGCTTAAACTTTACTGAAGTAAGACACCAGTTAATATCCAAAAAAGTTCAATCTGGTCCTCTGGACATACAAAAAAACAAAAAACAAAACAAAGCAAAAATGTAGAAACGTTTCGTCTCTCATCCGAGAGACTTCCTCAGTCTGAGGTGCTGTATTCAGTTCAGTCTCTTAAATAGCACCTTCTCAGAGTGGATCAACCAGTTTGCTGCTGACAACCAGAACCAGCTGATCACATGATCAAGAAGGACCATCAGCCTGGCTCACATCCTGGACAGAGAGGAACGATGGTTTGAGAGAGGAGTAAAGGAGGCCATCTTTGTGAAAAGAAACCGTCCATCATTAAACAGGGGTGGAGCCTCCAGGTTCAACTGTCCCCCTCTTACAATGCTGTGATTGCTAGTATCACTCAGCCCTCTGTGAACAGTAAACAGCCATCAGTGTGCTAATGATCCATTGTTAGGCTGATGGTCCTTCTTGAGCATGTGATCAGCTGGTTCTGGTTGTCAGCAGCAAAACTGGTTGATCCACTCTGAGAAGGTGCTATTTAAGACTGAGCTGAATACAGCACCTCAGACTGAGGAAGTCCTCAGGATGAGAGACAAAACGTTTCTACATTTTTTTGCTTTGTTTTGTTTTTTGAATGTCCAGAGGACCAGATTGAACTTATTTGGATTTTTCTACCTGGATTATTGAGCATGCATCAGGATACACCAGTTAACAGCTCGTCCGGCACAAACGCTTGTAGTTTGAGGGCAACAGAAGTTTGTCCCACCATGAACCCGAGTTACTTCTATAAAAGAGTCCATGTAGAGCTGAAAAGTGTGAGGACAAACAGAATGTGAGCTGCAAGGTCAGCAGAGAGCATGGCAGGAGGGTAATGACAGGAACAGCATGTGGCCACAGACTGAGGAGGAAGAGCTGCTGGCTCTGAAACACTGACTCTGGTTTCTCAAGTGGATCAGACGGTCCTGGTTGAGCAGATCTGCCAGGAGGACGATGGGAGCTACAGCCTGTCTCCGCAAGAATACGCCATGTTTTGAGGACAGAATGGTCTAAAGGATTAGCCTGAGAGCTTGAAAAGCGACAAAAAGTAAAGCTGCGGTTATTTTCACCAAGTCTGAACAGTCCAGTCAAGTGTGAATAATGGATGATGGATGGATGGATGGATGATGGATGGATAGATGGATGATGGATGGATGATGGATGGATAGATGTATGATGGATGCATGATGAAAGGATAATAGATAGATAGATGATGGATGGATGGATGGATGGATGGATGATGGATGGATGGATGGATGATGGATGGATGATGGATAGATGTATGATGGATGGATGGATGGATGGATGGATGGATGATGGATGGATGATGGATGGATGAT